TGTAACAACTTAGGTTCTGGGGTTTACATAGACTCAGAATTGCGGTTATAATTGAAATTGAGAAGTCTTTTTTTATTGAAAAAATCAATACTGATTAGTTATGTATCAATTTTGTTTTTCTTACATCATTTATCATTAGGGAAACCCAATTTGAGATTGAAATCCAAGAGTTTTCCAGTCAATAGTTAATGGTTCCAATTTGTCCTGGATTTTGGCTTGTGTGACTGAAAATCAATATTTGCTTTGTCAATAGATCAATAGAAAAGAGAGGAATTTCGATATTGTGTGTTTTGAGATACTATAAAAACAATTGAAGGGATGGATCCACTTCAAAAAAGAGGACGGATTTCTTTTAGGCAAGGAATTAAGGAACACGAGGTTTCAGATAGAAGTACAATAAAAAAAAAGACATTTAGTAACCCCCCCAAAAACAAAACAAGCAAACGGGGAATATTTTCATCTATTTTGTATAGTTTTGGCGGCATGGCCGAGCGGTAAGGTGGGGGACTGCAAATCCTTTTTCCCCAGTTCAAATCTGGGTGTCGCCTGATCAACAAAAGACAAGACTCGAAATCCCTTATTCTGCTTTGCTGGTATAACTCGCCGAATTTTTCACAGCAAAACAAGGCGTAGGAAAAAGACTCTTGATACTTTATTGTTCTAAATAACTGCGGGTTCCGTTCTTTAAAGTGCTGTAAATCTTTGCATCTAGGATTCAAGGGAAGATTCTAGTAGTGGAAAGGCTATCATATCAAATCAAGAGTTACCGATTTCTTTCCACTACTAATGGAGTGTCTACTTACCAGGTCTTGAATTAGATTGGATAGTCAAACGGAAAATCGAATTAATCGTTATGGAAGGGGCAGAAAATACTTTGTATACAGAGTATACAGACTCATGAGAGTCTCTGAGTGCACGGGCATTCAATCAATATTAGATTGGATGCATAAAGGAGAATGGGTCTTCTTATTCCTACATATTCGTAACATTCCCTTTGATACTTCCAAAGAAAAGTGGGACTGCGTATTTTGTTTAATGTTTCCCGATTCTACTAGAAATCATATAAGAACTTGTTATACCTTGTTATACGTGGATTTAGAGGAGTCTTTCATCAAGGGTCTTGGGTCAGAATCCCTTTTTGACTCTGCACCAGTGATTCCACTATTATTAGTAAACAATAATGGAATAATTCCTTCATATTCATAGAGATAGGGGACATAATTCACATGGATATAGTAAGTCTCGCTTGGGCTGCTTTAATGGTAGTTTTTACATTTTCCCTTTCACTCGTAGTATGGGGAAGAAGTGGACTCTAGAGATACTACTAATTGAGTTGGGGAATCAAATTGTATCACTTTTTTTATAGATTTTTTCTAGACCGTTCTGCATCTTAATATTGAATTAATTAATTTAATTCAATTTCGAAATCCGAAGAAGTAATTGATTGAGCGGTTGACAGATGATCCAAGGAGTTCTATGGTAACTTCTTCGAAATGCTAAAAAAAAAAAAAGATTACTTTATTTTCATTTTATTTTATTAACTTGATTTTCTTTTAGTAATATATGCCCAATATTGTTTTTCCTTCATTGATTTGATTCGTGTTTAATGGATACCGGAATTCATATTGAAAATAATAATAATAAGAAATCTAGAAATTAGAAAATTGTAAGAGTTCCCTTTTGATTATTTCAGATTGATTGGAATCAACAAAAAGAAAATAGATAAAGCAAAGAAATAGAATTGAGATACTATGTAGATTCCATCTATTTAATTGATATTAAGATGTATGAAGATACATATACATATTGTAGATTGATCTCTATTCAGTTTGTATCTTTCTGCAGTACAATAATAAAAATAGATAGTATGGTCGAAAGATTCATATATGAATCTTTCGACCATACTATCGAATCTCATAGGCTACTGCTGATTCTAGTCCCTTCATTTCATTTAAGACGTGAAATTGGAATCTTTTTTCTTAAATCATTGATAAGAACTAAGAAGTCAAGTTTCATTCAAATTAATCACCTTGACTGACAGTTTTTACGTATATTATAAGCAAAAAAGCAGTAGGAACTAGAATGAACAGTGCAGTAGCAATAAATGCGAGAATATTTACTTCCATAATCTCATCCTTTCGTTTTTTTTTTTTTTTACTTCGCAATAACTCGGGATTTAATCCCATAGAGATGATAAACCTTTCGCTTGTAAATTCAATGGGATGAATTCCATTTCGATGATATCGAATCGGATCAATATCATGAATAACAATATCTGAGCTATCAAGTCGATTCAGCGTCGAGAATTGAATAGTATAACATAGGTAGATCTTTTATCCACACACCGAATACAAATTTGGATTCCGGATTCAATCAAAAGAATTCCTTTAGTTTCTACTTTAACTACTTTATTTTTATTTATCATTCTTTGCCATTCTGTCTGTTCTATAATCTACCGCCTTCCTTGTACAACCATCTAACCGCTTTCCACGTCCATTAT